TATTATCGCGTAATACAAAATATTTCGTATCGATAAAATCGAATACTGTCATTAGAAGTATTTCCTATTTATACTAATCTAGAAGAAATATCATATTATAAGACAAATATGTTGATCCATATACAATGATAACAAATATCCATGTACGTGTTCTTAATACAAGGCCAAATAGATAAACGCAATATCTTATTATAACTAACGTATTTTTTGTTATTTTCAAAAACCTATCAATATATTTTATTAAGCTTAGAAAGGAATCACTTACAGTGATTCATCCTTTTTCGTTGACTTCATATTTCTATCATAAGTAGATGACATTGATACTAGGATATATGTAGAATAACTTAAGCTCGTATTATACTATTTCTGGTTATTAATCATTCTACGGGATTTTTTCTTCTTGATTAATTTCTTTTGACAAAAAGGAAAAATTGAAGTGTAATGTTTTAATCTGAAACTTTATAAACAGATAAATCTAACTAAAATAAGAATGTTTTAAAAGTTAGAAAAAAGAAAAAGATAAATGAGTTTTGTCATGAGATAAGAAGTTTATTATAAACTTAGTCTATTATCAAAGGAAGAATATAATGTTCGATAGGCTCTATATTTCGAGACAAAAATATTTATTTTTGTTAAAGCTTTTCGAACATTTTAGTTTTAGTTAGATTTATCTGTCAATAAAATTAATCTTTTAATTCATTCTTTTTTTTTTTTTCTTGAAAGAAACTGACCAAGAAGAAATAGATCAATAAAATGATCATAATTCGGCAATGATATATTATGAATCTCCACTTATTGCACAAGTGTTCTAGTCTCGACATTGCATACTTAGCGGAACAATATCCGCTTAAAAAAAATAAGGGTGAATCAGTTTAACCGGTTATTTCTTTTGTCAATAAGTATATTGTTGGTTTATTGTATCATCAAATAGCACTATAATATGATTTATGATTGCATACAATTTTGAGCAAAAGTCATTATTTTTCTGAAATGTTGAAAGCTGTATGTTCAGTAAAATGCGCTGTCGACTTAATACAAAGAATTGACAAATTTATTTATTATATTTAAGTCAATAATAAATTTTGTTACATCAAGATAGTTTTAATCGTATAGAATTAAGTTGTTCTACTAGGACAACATAATGAGTTCTATTTGTCTAAAAAAAAAAAACTTATACACATTGTAGTTCTTCTATTATTTTTTTTCTCCACTAGAATTATCAAGTCTTAGTATCCATTGTACGATAATAATACTGAATATATTTTTGTCTCATCTCTAGAGACAATATTCCCAATAGTTACATTTTTTCTAACGCATTTCTTTTTATTCATGTACTGCGTGAAAGAGATTAATCTTATTAGTATATGCAACAACTGGTTTTCACGCAACGAAAATTCAATTGTACAAAGGTTATTTCCGAGATTAAAATTATCGAATAGAAATTTCTAGTCCGATCATATGTTCACAAATAAATATTTATTAAGAAATTGTTTTCCCGTAAAAAAAAAAAAAAAGAGAAATGAATCTAAAGATATTATTATAAATAAAAATTACCCAAGACACATTAGAATGTCTAGAATTGCTTCGGGTATCCCTTTATACGTATTGAAATACTTAGAATTAATTAATGAACAGAAGTATTCTATAATTGAAACGAATAAATATTTAACAAATGTTATAATAAGAAAATAAGATGAAGTAGATATTACCAAAACAAAAAAAAGCGAAAGAGCTATACCATATGCGTTGATAGCAAAAATATGAAGAGACTTTTACTGTACGGCCTGCACAGATTTTCTCATAGAGGAAACATTTCATTACATAGAATGTCTTTTATGTCACGACAATTTTATAATTAAATATACTTATATTATTAAACTTACAATAGATATATATATATATATAGTAAGAAAAGTTCACTTAGTATTATGTTTTTTTTTTATTCTTGATAAATGAATATCAATGGATACTTTAAATTTTAAATCTGTTGATTTATGTAACTGAAAGAAGAGAATTTATTTGCGTATATATACTAAGTCACATGTGTCGGAAGTTATTCGCTATAATAATGAATCAGTATTGCGTTTCAATTTTTATACTTATGATACTTTGCAATGAAATAGTTCATTTTGCTGGCAAACACAACAGAATTATTTAATTACTTTGTCATATACCCTTGGGTATTTACAAAGAAATATGCGTCAATTTTTTTCATTTTGAAATCGTTGAATCATAATTTAACAAAACATATACTTAAAGATTACTACAAAAAGAGATAGTATCTGAAAATTAACTAATCTTAATAGAATAGAAAGATTAGACAGTTTTCTTTAATTGAACATGACACTTTTTTTGTTTTCGTCATCTCCAAGCATTTCAAATGCTCATATATCGTATTTCGTTTTGTTCTTAAATATTACTTAATAAATCGAACAAATAAATTATATATACATATTCGAGTGAACATATGGTCAGTTCAACAAGATTATCGTATACTACGATTTCTATGTCATTAATTTATATTGACAGGATCTTAAAGAAGGTGATGATGTATTTTATTCTTGACTATATCCTTTAATCAACAAAATAAAATGGCTTTGCTGATATGAAACATAATCTTAATGTAAAATACCAAGAACAAAAAAAAAAAACAGATCGTGACAGTAAAAAAATTACAAAATTAGGTTGACGAACATCTTCGAGATCAAGATGCATCTAATGACATTAGGCACTTACTATATGCAGCCGTCAAACAACAAATAATTCTCTATATTTGGATGAGTAAAAAATGAAGTTACCATCAAAAATTTCAAGCACAAAATAAATATTTCTAATAGACAAAAAAAAAATATAAGTGCATCAAATGTCAATAGAAACATTACTGTACGAATCATTTTTATTTCCAACGAATCATATTTACGCATGAGACAATCTAAAATGTTGCCCTTTTTTTCCGATATTTCTGCTCTTCTTGAATTATAACAGATGACTGAATTACGATGAATTTTTGCATTCGCGATTCATGTTCAACATATAGTAATTTCCGACTCTAATAATCTCTATCTATCTCTTTATATATATATATGATTAACAGCTAAATTTAATTCAAAAACTATGTAATGAATATTTCTAGAAAATGTGAGAACATTTCTTCGTTATTTTTGATTTTTCTTCTTTATTTGAGCGCTTAATATGATCATGAGAAATCTATATACTTTAAGTTTTACCATAAAGACAACAAAAAATTTGTTCTCGAGTACGACATTCAATTGATTAGATATATCAAAAGAATAAAATCATTGTTCACTTCAATATTACAGCGATGAAATTCAAACTATTTAATATCATAATAAATTTTAGCATTAATTGTATGACAAATAATTTTGATAGAAACATATTATTATTCTTTGAATTTTATAATGCTTTCACATATGATCAGTTATGAATATTGAACATGAAAAAGAATTATAGTTAGAAATCTCTTGCTGCTTATTTCGAATGAATGAATGAATGGTTGTTAACGGACTTACAGTTTAGTAAAGTAGTACAACATATTAGTTAATATACAAAAAAGAAGTTCAGCTACTGATGAATTTTAATTTTATGATCCTAACAAAGTTATATCAATTGATTCGTCTGTCCTATTAGTTTTAAACGAATCTACTCTGCGCCTATACAAATTTTGTTAATTAATCACAGAAAATCTATGATTACTATTCTTTTCTCAAAAGCTTCAAGAGATTTGAATAATTATATTTAATAAAACATTAACAATCTTGAGATATTTGTAGGATACATTAAAGCTATTGGAATTTAATTATGAATTAATCATTACTTTGATAGTATATCTATAATCTTAATTAAGAAATGTATCCTTTATCGTATTTTATTCATATTTTCTCTTCCAGAGAGATGATTTAAAGCTCTGGGACGGCGAACATCTATTTTTTTAAAGTGCAAGCACGTAGTACGTGATATAATAATTACAAACTTTGAAAAGGCCAACTCGATGTTCGGAGGGATGCAGCTTCCTCAGCCCTTCGATACTAGATAAAATATTGATCACTCGAGACAGATAAACTTATGTTAATCAAGATATAAAATGACATGAAACTGTTTACTCTGATTTTTTCATTTATTTAATTAATGTATTATTATCTTTCTATCATAGTAAATAAATTTTGAAAGAAATTAATCATTTATTGATTCTTGCTGAATACTGTAACAGTATCAATAATGTTCTTACTTTATTTTTTTCTAATATGTTTGAATATAAATAAAAAAAAGAAGAAGAAGAAGAAAAGACAGAAAAGTCATAACTACTCATACGAATGTTTACTAGTAGAAGAAATTTTAAGAGAAAAAAATAATTTTAATGATGAGTACTCTTTTTAGCTGACGATGATGATGGATGTGCTGTTGGAGTCGAAGCTGGATGTGGTTGAGAAGCTAATTTTTTAGCACTACGTGATTTAGACCATTTTGCCATAGTATAACCGAAAAGTATCCAACCACCAAGAACAGCCATTACTGAATTAGCTCGACCACGAGTTGTATAAGAATTAAAATGACGAATATACCAATTCGTAGCCATTTTTTCTCGAATATGTGCTGGAACTTCAGCATCACCACCACCACCAAAACGAATAAGACTTAATTTCATTTTTATATATCAATGATAATAATTGTCGAATACTAATATTAATTAAACCAAAAGATAAACGTTTTATGTAAAAAAAAAAAAACAACATCTCAATTTAGTGACTTAACAGAGAACCAATCAGTTTAGCATTCAAAGCGTCACCTATCAAAATTAATTTTTCTTGTTGTTATCAGCATTTATCGATCATTTTTCTATACGTATATATTCAAATTGAAATGTTCATATAGAATATTTGAAATTATGTTTTTAATCGTGAATGAATCATCCGTGATGGTTGTTATGGAAAGAGTATCGTTCAATGGATATTGATATTCTTCATCATAACAAATAAATAAGAATGGCGCAACAAGAAACCGAAAGGCGTCCAAGTAAATCCATAAATGATGATAAACCATTTGTTGGAAAGAAAAAAACCAAGGCCGAATTAGAACAAGAAGCCTATATGGCTCGGCAATATGCTATCGTTATTGGTGAACTGAAAGCTGCTGAAGCAAGAAATCGGTAAGATTCATATGTTCATGAAATTTCATGAGTCATTTTTTTTTCTTTTAATAAAAGAATTCGAGCAACTCGTCTTCGTTTTGCTAAATCTCAGCGTGATGAAATTGATCAAATAATTGCCTTTCAGCCAAATGCATTAAGTGCACTTCGTTTTGAAGCATTTATGTCAAATATACCATCATTACAAAAAGAAAAAGTATCTTCATCATTACAATCATCACCACGTACAACAAGTGCATTAGCAAGTGGACAAACAAAAGATTCTTTAACACAAATTGAACGACGTAGAGTTCAAAATCTACTACTTGATGATAAAAATTTATTAGTTGATAGAACCGGTTAAAAAAAAAACCAATTTTAACAATAAATATTCAATTATTTGAATGTATGTAAAAGACGAGATAATAATGCTTTCTAAAAAAATATTCAATAAATAATAAAGATTATTTCAAAAGAATTTAAACTTACAGGCATCGACCAAAGAAATAAAAGTAAGAATATAATAAAACATATTAATAGAAATATAAGAAGAATATAACATTTCGATTTTTTCCATATTATATTTTTAAATGCACGATATGGAGATGTAAACCAAAGAAATGATGTTTCAGGACGTCTGAAATTAAATTTTTTTTATTTGTTTTTTTTTTCTTTTCAATATAAAAACAAAATATTTACTGTGGTAATTCTAATTTTGGATGTTCATTTGGTTGTTTACGACCACATCCTGCTGGTCTTTCAATTGCTTCGTTTTCTGTTAAAATTTCTAATTCAAGTTCAATTTTACCCTAAATTATTTTTTTTTTTTTTTTATTGTTTTCGAAAAAATTCTATTCAAATTAAAAAAAAAAAACTTACAGTAAGTTTTGGATTTCCACTTTGAAGATCAACACAAGGCCACCAACCTTTTAAATGTTTTATTTCAAAAATTGATACATAATTTGATAATTGATCATTAACAATCTCCAATGTGCAAACATCAGAATCTTTAGCTGGTTTATATAAACGATTTAAATCAAGTGTTAATGCACCTATTTTTATTAAATTGATTTAAAACAAAAAATAAAAGAAAAGAAAGAAAAGTGAAAATTACCAAGAAAATCATCTCGACTAAATTTATCATTATCCCATATTTGAATATTTAATACAGGTGGAATTTTAAATTCTGTTGCATCATAACTCCAAAAATATTCTTTTTTTCTAATTGAAATACATCGTTCAGCAGGAAAATAAGAAAAATTATAAATAAAACGCCAATTAAAATTTCCTTCACCATCCATTGATCTAATTGAAAAAATTAAATTTTTTCAATAAAAAGAAAGAAAATTCAAACACACCGATAATGTACATCTGTTTTTTGTACATCATCTTCTATTCCAGTCATCCATCCTTTTACATAAATATCAGACATTTGTTCTCCTGTTATTGATGTTTCTTGTAAAATTACATCACTTGTATTCCATATTATACAACGAAGAATATAACTAAAAAGAATTTTATGAATCACAACTGTTATACATTGCAAAAATATTAAAATAATAGAGAATAATTGAAGAAAAAAAAAGAAGCAAGCATCCTACTACTCAGTATTACACGAGGGAAGTTTCAGAATTGATTAATTACTTTTGAGTCCAAACTATGTGCATCATGTAGATCGTAATGAACTTTTATTATCCTCAAAAGAGTTCGAAGCCTTAGCTTATTGCTGTGGAGATACTACATTTTTACGATATTTGTTTTTAAATCACTGCTGTGGCCTCTATCTCAGAAACATTAGGAAAAATGATTTTCAAATTTCGACTTGAAACTTTGTACTAGGACAGATCTTAATGAGAATAGTTTATTGTGAGAGTTTGAAGTTTTTTCGTTGTTTCTATCCTAAGAGACGGCTATGATAATTAATTAATTAATTAGGAACCTCCCCTCATTAGAAGGAAACGTGTAGAATCAGTTTGGTTTGATATATGTATTTCCTTGTAACAGGGGATAAGAACGAACAAAAAAAAAAAAAAATTATGATCATGCATTAAAGTTAATATTTAACAACTAGCGAAGTCTTAACGTCACAGAATCTAATTTATATAGATTATTGAAAGCTGACCGTGTGTCTTAATCTGAGAAGAAAATATTCATGCATATATTTTACACTAATATATACATACAAGTTTAATTAGCAAAAATGAAATAAGTATTTGATTTAACATGACAATAATTAATAACTCACTCATTTATTTTCTATATCATTTTATGAGATTTTCATGAAAGATGTCTTTTAAATAACATAAAATCTTACAAAATAAATGATAATTCCAAACAATATTACTCACGATCAACTGTAATCAATCATATTCAAATATCCGAAATCGTATTCATATAGAACGTTCGAGCATACGATACATACGATCTAATTCCTTCCTGACTATTTCTTTATCATTATTATAAACTTTTATCAGTTCATACAGCATCCGTCTCCAATTGAAACTGATATTTATTCAGAATTTTTGACAGATTATTCTAATACATATACACAATGGGTTCTGAAATTATAATCAACCTACGGTTTTGGTTTTCTTGGTGTAATCATAAAAGGTGGTCCAGGTGGACCATGAGATTTCAGAAAAATATCAACGAATAATTCTAAACGACCTTGTTCAATAAATGGTTGAAATGAATTAAAAAGTGGTCGTGTTTCAATATGTTCAGGACAAAGATGAAATTTATGTAAAATATACAATGCTAAACGTTCTTCTTCTTCTCCAACATGAATTGTTAAATTTTTTTCTTGTTCTAAATTAAATTAAGATGAAAAGAAAAAATAGATTTATTTAAACAAACCAAAATCTTCCAAACGAAAAATCGTATCGCCAATTTTAATTGAATGATCGTCAAGTAATTCTGGTAAAGATAAATTATTTCGTTTACAAATATCATAAAGAATTTTTCTTGGTCGACTATTATCACGCCATCGATTTGGACCAGTTCTAAATAAATTAATTTCAACTATTATTTATTTATTTTTTTTTTTGTATCTAAAATTCTTACAAATTATATTGTAATGGAAGTCCACATGTTGCTCGATATTTACTTAAAAGTCGATTTTCTAAATCAATTGTTGTTTGTCCAATAATATCATCTGATGTTATTAAATCCCAATCTTTAATACGTATTATTAAATCTTTCGCTAATGGAATTATTGTTTTGATTTCAAACATTCTAAGATAACAAAAAAAAAAAAAAAAAAACCAGAGTAAAAGAAAAAGAAAACATATTGATAAACTAACTTTCCAAAGATAGGATTTGTTGTATTTAATATTTTTTCATCTCGATTATCAATTTTTATTTTTCCTAATTGAATTTCAATATATGGATCTGATTTTCTATTTGAATCTTTTGGTTGTAAATCAATAGCACGTATAATATAAACACGAATTAAACATTCTTCTAAATTATTTGATGGAAAATGTTCCATAATTCGATGTGGTAATAATTCATTAGAATTTTCAGGTAATGGATAAACTTTAAAAAGACCTTTAAATTCTCCGACAATTTCATTTTCTTCTTCAAATTTTGTTTTTCCACGAGATAATTCAAATGTTCGACAAAAATCATTAAAACCTTCATAAAATTCATATAATTCAAGTGGATGAGAATAAATCTTAAATTAAAAAAAAATAAAATAAAATAGAAGAAAACAAAAATCGTAATATTGATATATTTACTGTTAAAGTTTCATATCTTTTTTGTATATAAGTACCACATTTATTGAAATCACGTTTCGATGCATAATATTTTGACCACCAATCAATATCATCTTCAACTATTGTCTAATTAATATATAAAATTATTGAATAATAAGAAAACGAAAGTTCTCGCAATGTTTTAATTCAATCAGCAAAAATGGTTAGTTCATTTTCTACTCTAACGAGCGAACAGTTTCAAGTGTCAAATAAACCATTGAGTTAGGACTATATGCATGATGTAGGTTCTCATGAGCTATAAGTACTCAGAATAGGGAACAATGGAACTACCTTTTTATTGGTTCCAGTCTAGATCTCAGTTAAAATTTTTTTATTGGTTCTGGTTCTAATTTCGTTTCTAGCAAAAATGTTCTTTGTTTTTAATAATCTGTATGATTCTTTGAATACCTATAAAATTGACATTGATGATTTTGTGAGAAATTAATAGTAGGAGTAAACGCTTATATGGATGCATCAGAACTAGGGAAATACAAAACCATTTGCTTTGTCTCACTCAAAACTTTCTTTGGTTCTAGCTGTACGACTTAGACGATGCTCTTAGAACTTATAGTTCTCTTGCATAGATAAAAAATGTAAATGAGTCATTTTTAATCGGAATTTCCAAGATGGTTCCAGTTTCGATCCAGGATCGAAAAAAGTGATTTTCCAGATCTATGCTTTTATGATAATCATAAAAAAGGGTCGATTTATAGATTGATAGTCAGAACAAAATAATAAATATGACAATATATAGTCTAGTTCTTAAACAGAAAACATACTGAAACCAGTTTAGCAAGTTTTAAGTCCCGGTCCCATAAAAATCAAAATTTGGTCCCGATGGAACCACTTCGCAGATCCCTAACTCCGAAAAGCATTCGGTCTAATATCTTATTATTACTGAGATATCGTATTTTTTTAGTAAAATTCCGTAGCCCCTTCAAGAACACCAGCAAAACAGAGTTTCGAAATTCAACTTGAAACTTTGTATACAGGCAAGTCTGAACGAGAATAGCTTATTATGAAAGTTCTAGAATTTTTGATTGTGTCTATTTTGAAAATTCTTTTGTTCAATGTTGTTCGAAATAGTTAAAAAAAAATGAATAACTAAATATAATAAATATTTCTTTTTTTTAGAAATAAATGAAACAAAAATATAACGAACCACTTGATTGACGAGTACATTTTGATAATATTGTTGATCTTTTAAAAATGCTTTTTGAATTTTTTCTAATTTCGATTCTGATTTTATTGTAGAAGATTTATATTTCTTTAAAAACTGTTTCACTCGTTTTCTCATTGTTTTTTTATCAACAATTTTTGTTTCGATTTCATTTTTTGTTAAATCATTTGTTTCGTTAGGTAATACAATCTTAACTTTTGATGAATGAGAACACTATAATGAAGCAAAATTATTTTTTATTAAATTAATAAAATTCAAATATTTTTACTTCATTTCGATGTTTTTTCTTCTTTTTTTTAATCATTGGAACAGTAAAATCATTTGTTGGTGAGATAGTTTGTGATTCTATATTTTCTAGAAAATAATTATATTTTTGTTTTTTTAAATAAATGAATAATAAAAGAATATACTAGCTGCTTGTATAAG